TCTCTCTCTCTCTCTCTCTCTCTCTCTCTCTCTCTCTCTCTCTCTCTCTCACACACACACACACACACACACACACACACACACACACACACATTCTCACAAATACAAATAGGATACAAATCCTTGTATAACTAAGTAAAACCTACAACTCCAATCTCATTAAATCTATGCCCTGGCTGCACCTTAAATGATCTGAATGTCATAGATGCATGCCAGGCCCCACAGAGATCACTCTTAGAATTCCTGGAAATGGAGTTGGCACTGCCATGGCTATGAAGCGCCCATTGTGCTGCAGCCAGGGTATGCAAACCTCAGTCCACACAGCCAAGCACAGCTTGTCATCTGTTTTTATTTTTAAAAAAATTTCTTAGGAACACAGACACACTTATTCACTTACAAATGCCTATGGCTGCTTCTCTGCCACCACGCCAGATTAAGTAGTTGTGACAGAAACGTTCTGGACTAGAAAGCTAACACAGCTGCCTCAAACCCTAACTTCACTGTGGCATTCATAACAATACTGACATGATGGTTTGAATAATAATATAGTTCTATACTCTTTAAGGAGTGAAACTATTTGATAAGGATTAGGAGGTGTGGCCTTGCTGGAGGAAGCCCACTGAGGGGTGGGCTTTGAAGTTTCAAAAGCTCATACCACCAGCCCACACCCCACCCGACTCAGTGTGTGTGTGTGTGTGTGTGTGTGTGTGTGTGTGTGTGTGTGTGCCAATGGATCAGGATGTAGCTCTCAGCTGCTGTTCCAAAGCCAGCATGCATGTCTCTGTGCTCCCCATCATGATGATAATGGACTAAGCCTCTGAAACTGTAAGCAAACTCACAATTAAATGTTTTCTCTTTTAAGAGTTGCCTTGGGAGAAGTGGATGAGATCTACATGAGTGGACTGGGGGGCGTGGCAGAGGGTGAGGAGTGGGGATGAGAACATAGGGAAATGGGAGGGTCAAGCTGGAACAGGGACAGAGTGGGAGGGCAGTGAGGAAGATACCATGATAGATGAGGACATCATGGGAATAGGAAGAGGCAGGCAGGGTGCTGAGGAGGCTCTCAGGAATCCACAAGGTTGACCCCACCTTAATCTGCTGGCAGTGGTCCAAAGGGTGCCTGGGCCAGTCTACTCTGGTGACCAGCCTAGTGAATAACCTAGTTGTCATCATAGATCCTTTGTCCAGTGACCAATAAAGGCATATATAGAGATCCATGGCCAGGCACCAGGCTGAGCTCCGGGAATCCAATTGATGAGAGAGAGGAGAGATACTGTAGGTGAGGGACATCGAGATCATGATGGGAGGTCGTGCAGAGATGACTGGCCACAGTAGTGGAAGCCCAGGAACTGTGGACTGGTGGCTGTGGAGCCCCCATGGGACTGGACTAGGCCCTCTGGATATGGAAGACGGTTGTTTGGCTCAAACTGTTTGGGAGGCACCCAGGCAGGGGGATCGGGATCTGTCCCTGGTCTATGGGCAGGCTTCTGGAACCCAGTGCCTGTAGTGTGACACCTTGCACAGCCTTGGTGCAGTGAGAAGGGACTTGGACCTGCCTAGGCTCAGTGTGCCAGGCTCTGCTGACTCCCCATGGGAGACCTTGATTTGGGGGATGTGGGGATGCAGGGTGGCTTGGGAAAGAGGGCTGGGGATGGGAGGAAGGAGGAGAGGGATCTGTGGATAGTATGTGGAATGAGTAGAAAATTTCTTAATAAAGAAAAATGAAAAAAGAGTTGCCTTGGTCGTGGTGTCTCTTCACAGCAATAGAACAGTCACTAAGACAACTAGTATATGGAAAAATATTTTTCAACTTTAATCTCCCTATTTTTTCTTTCCCATATATTACCTGCTTTAAAAAGGGAAAACAGGGATGGGAGTGGCCAGTCAAGATCTGATCTGCATTAAAACCCACTCCATGAGATGGAACCCATACCCAGTGCTGCTTGGGTAGCCAAGAACCTGAGACTAGATAGGCCAGGGACCTAGGGGAAAATCAAAGACCACTGTTCTGCTAAAGGAATATGGCAATAAAATGACTCCTAATGACATCCTACTATACTCATAGATCTATGCCTCGCTCAGCCATCATCAGAAAAATCTTCCTCCTACAGCAGATGGGAACAAATACAGAGATCTACAGCCAGACAATGTGCAGAATGAGAGACCTTGGAACATTCAGTCCTAAATGGGATGTCTCCAACAAATCCCTCCCTGCCTCCCAGGCCTCAGGGAACCCCTCAGAAGAGGAGGCAGAAAGAGTGTAAGAGCCAGATGGGATAGAGGATATCAATAAAACAATGCCTTCTAAACACAAGACCAACACACATATGAACTCACAGAGACTTAGACGGTATGCACAGCACCCGCACTGTTCTGAACCACATGGAGTCCTACAGCTGAGAGAAGTGGATGCACACCCCCATCCCTAACCCAGAAGCCATCTCTAATTGATAATCATTTGCAAATGAGGGCTAGGTTTTCTCCAAGGGAATCCCACTCAGGAAAAAAAAAAAAAAACACTCTTAAGGGTGGGCGCCATGCCAGCAGTAGATGACCAATGCAAAACGAACTCAGTGGCATCCTTGGAGGTTCTTTGTCACATAATGCTATGTAGGGCACGTATTTTAGCCTTACAGGTCCTTCGTGTGTATATCATAACTGCCGGCTTTGTGTTTAAGGGATTCCTGAGTGTGTGAGCATGTGTATCTCCGCACCTATGCGTTTCTTATGCTTTTTCTTTGGCTCTTTTTCTTCTGTTTGTTTAGTCCTACTCTGAGTTGTTTGTTTTTGTTTTATATTATTTTTTACTACTCCTTAGATGCCTGTTTTTTTCCAATGATAGACAGAAAAAGTGTGGATCCAGACAAAAGGGGAGGTAGAAAGGAGCTGGAAGGAGTACAGGGAAGGGAAACCATAACCAAAATGTATTGTATGAAAAAAATCCATATTCAATAAAAGAAAAAAGACAGAGTCTCACTATTATAGCCCAGGCTGGGTTCTAACTTGAGATCCTCCTGCCTCTGTCTCCCAATGCTGGTATTATAGGCATGCACACCCATTCCTGGTCAACTGAGATCCACTCTGAGCTTTGTTTTATGGTTCAATACAATAAAATCAACAGGATGTGGAGACAATGCCCTTTCTGGCCTGTTTCACTGTCTTCAAGACACTTCATCAAGACAAGGTTCATTTCACTACCCCTCCAGTAAGTGGCTGCAAGGAAAGATTACTCTCTGCTTCTCCAATGAGCCTTGCTCCTCTGGGAGACTTGACTGCCTGCCTTTAATTACCATAAGTTCACCTGGTGATTTTCATGGGGCTTTCTGGCCCCTCCCTCATACAACCAGAGAATAGGTGCCTTCCAGACTACTCTCCCCTTAAAAAATAAAAGCTAAAAGGATTTTACTGTCTATCTCTTTTCCTCTCAAGTGTCTCGTTTCTGCAAAGAAAACAGAAGTCTCAACTCGCTTGGCTCCAGGTAACCCTTCTTCAGCCTGTGAGTATGTTCCAAGGAAACAGCTCCTGTGCCTACTTCATATTTCCAAACTTTGTCACAAATGCAAATGCATGGATTTGAAAGGTGATACAGAGAAAAGAGATAGAGGTTAATATGGATCTTGAGCTGGACCTTCATCAGGCTCCATCTTCTCCCTGAGGCTGAAATGGCCCTTTTAGTTGTGTGGTGTAATTTTCTTTCTACCCACCTCCTGCTGCTGCTGGGGATCCTAGATCTAGCTCTTGGAGTGTTCCCAGGCACTCAACTCCCAACTCATACTGATTCCTTGGGAATGTCAGTTCTTGTGCAGAATAAATAGGACTCCTCAATTCTTGTGTTTTTTGTTTTGTTTTGTTTTGTTTGTTTTGTTTTACAATGGAGTGCTTTCAGGGACGAATTCAGTGATTGCAGATGCCTCTTTGAACAGCACAATTCAGACAGAACCTATTAAATCCCACCAACCCCCATCCCTCCTCTCCGATATCCTAGTTAGCTTCCTCTTGCTGTGATAGACACCATGACCAAAATCAACTTGGGAAGGAATGGATATATTCCACTCTAGGGCTTGGAATCCATCATGAAAGAAAGTTAGGGCAGGACTTTAAGGCCTGGAGACAGAAACTAAAGCAGAGGCAGTAGAGGAACGCTGCTGGCTTTCCCTACACAGCTCAGAGTACTTTCTTATACAACCTAGGACCAGCTGCCCAGGCATGGTACAGCCCTCAGTGGGCTGAGCCCTCCCACCTCAATCCTAATGAAAAAATGCCCTACAGATCTGCATATAAACCAATGTATGGAGATATTTTCTCACTTGAGATTCTCTCTTCCCAGATGACCCAGTTTGTGTCAAGTTCACACACACACACACACACACACACACACACACACACACACACACACACACACATACATACAAATCAGCATACTGAGTCTTACCAACACTAGGCTCATGGGTTTCTGAGGGCCATTGCTTGTGTCCTAGAGAAAGAGATGAAGGTCCAACAAGGGTCACTTACATAATTGTGCTGGCCACAGCGTATATGACATCACTTTTTGAGCAGCTAAAAGCTTTGTCAAGTCTGAACATCAAGGAGAGAGCTTTTGGCTTGCCCAGCACCCTCAGGTTAATGGTGTTAATGGCTCTGACCTATCGGGCTGTTCCAGTAACAACCTGACAGTCACTCTTTGTCTTTCACCCAGGTCCCCACATCCCATCCTTTCCTGAGACTGGCCTCCCATGTCCTGTCAACTGTGCTTAACTCCATACTGCTCCGATAACCCATAACCAGGCCTGGTGGCCCAGGACTGTAACCCCAGCTACTTAGAGGCTAAGGTAGGAAGACTGCAATTTCAAGGCCACCTGGAGAGATTTAGTGAGGTTCTGTCTCAAAATAAGAAGCAAAATAAAAATCAGCATTAGAGTGATTGCCTCGCATCTGCATAGGGTTCAATCCTCATTACCACAAAAGAAAAAGAATTAAATCCCCATCACTCTCCCTGCTTCACTGCTCTCCACCTTCTACCCAGCAGCCACTTGTCTTCTGGAGTGGAAATCCCCTCAAGACACCACACTGCGTCAAATCATTGACAGGTTCTCCTGCTGAGTAAAGTCCCATCCCCTTTCCTTAGTCTATAAGCTCTAGTCCTGGGGTGGGGGTGGGGTCAGGGTTTCTCAACCCGGTACCTGGACTCTTAGAGATGGATCATTCTTGTGGCAGAGCATCCCATGCATTGTAGTATGTTTAGCAGCATCCATGACCTGGACCACTGGATGCTAAACTCACCTGACGCCAACCCTCAGCCTCTACCTGTGACACTACTTGGGTGTTAATTGTCATTCCCACTGCTGTGACCCAATACTGAATTAACTCTAAGGAGGAAGGATTCATTGTAGACCACGGTTTCAGAGAGTCCAGGCCATGGTGGGTAGGCCCCAAGGGCTTGGGCAGAATGTCATCATGGTGGGAGGGTGTGGCAAGACTGCTCTTCAGGTCTTGCCTCACAAGAGGAACTGGCAGGAAATACAGGAAGGAGCCAGGGCAAGTCATATCCCCAAGTACACCCCTCCACTGGCCTACTTCCTCCAAAGGCTCCATCTCTTACCCTTCATTATCATCCAATATGCCATCATAACATGAATCAGTCAAGGGACTGATCCATTCATTAGTTCAAAGTCCTCACATCTGGCAGTGTATAATCCAGAACTATATCATCTCCTGGCAGGGGGTGGGGGTCTCTCAATCCAGTCAAGTTGACAGCCAGATCAACTACAACAGCTTCTATGTTCCAACCCCATTATCTCACCTCCAAGCTTGCTTCAAACTTACCTCTCCTGTCCTTTTTCTCCCATGATTCTTCTCCTAAACCCACCGGTAACCAGTTCCTTCCTCAAAGGTGGTCATCCCAACCCTCCTGACTGAAGTACATCCTTCACCCTCCCACACACCCCTCCATTCTGTTCTCCTCTGCCTGCCTCGTCTTTCCTCTTCACAGCACTGACTGCCACCTGAAGCTACTCAAGTGACTTTCTTGCTTCTCTCAGTGATTCTGCCTAAGACTACAAGGGTTTGGAGACCTTGTGCTTCCTGCTTTCTGCTGTTTTCTCCATGCCTGGCTACATACAGTAAGTATTCAATAAATAGCTCCTACTTTAAGACTCCTAATTGTTACTAAGGAAGACATGAGCCCCCCGGTTAAACCTATCACTTAGCCCTTACGAGCCAGACATCGTCCTGAGAGCCTTGACATACGGACTTAACATTTACAGTAACCCTTATCCTGGTTATTTTGTAGGTGAGGACACTGAGGTGTAGACAGGCTGTTTAGTTCTCACTTGTCCTGCCGCTGTGGCTCAGCCTGTGGTCTAGCCAAAACCTCAATCGATTAGTTGCATCGTTTTGCCCTCTTCCCTCAGTCAGAGTTCTCTGAAAGCACAGCCACTCTGCTTAGACAGCGTTGGTGCTCAGTAAAGTCAATAAATGAGTGAATAAATAAATAAATAAATGTTAAATGATGGCTTGGCGAATGCATAGCATTAGAGTTTATGTTGGCCACAGCCTTACCCAGGATCCCTTTCTAGGCCCCCATGCAATAGGAACCAAAAGAGAAGCTGCTGTTAGTTAGAAAGGCAGTCTTGCTGGGCTCAAGTCCAAGTTCTGCCTTTCACTGGCTATGTGACCTTGGGCAAGTAACTAAGCTCTCTGACCCTCAGTGCTCTCATCTCTAAAATGGGGATAATGGTTATGTCCCCCTTACAGGGTCTCTGCAGAGACTGAGATCACAATCCACTTGAGTGCTGTGGACACAGCTCCACAGACAAGGTGACTATCTCGCAAGCAGAAGAACCTGACTTTGATCCCCAGCAGCGCTCATGTGAAAATCCAGATTTGGTGATGCACACTTACCCTCAGCACTGGAAGACAGAGACAGGAGGCTGCCTGATTCTCTGCCCTGCACACACATATGTACACATGCATACACACATGCACATAAAAAGAACACACATATAAAACTACTTAGATACTTGATGAAGAGAAACCGTGTGTGTGTGTGTGTGTGTGTGTGTGTGTGTGTGTGTGTGTGTCTATGTGTGTCTGTATCTGTGTGTGTGTCTATGTGTGTGGTTGTTTGTTTGTTTGTTTGTTTGTGTTGCTACTGTCTCACTGGCTAAGGACTTTGGGGGAAAACAACTTAGGCAAAATACTTAATTTCAGATGCCCCCCATCCTGTTACCCCAACTGAGGCAAAAAAAAAGACCCACGGAACTTTGCATAAGGGACTTTTTCTCCCTAAAGCTATTTTCCTACAGTTATCATAAATCTGATTATATCTTGGGCCCAAGCAGGGAACTCCTTCTGTAGTAGTAACCTTTAATAGCCCAGAACAATATAATTGCCACCTCTTAGCATTCTCCTCTCCAGGGTAAATAATTCTAATGCCTTTAATGCCTACTTGCCTTTCCCATTTTCTGATCTTTTGCATTCATTGTTCTCGGTTTGGAAATAGAGCCAAATGAAGAAGGAGGAGAGCTGCTGTTGTCATGGCAACTGCAAAGGGACAGACAACCCAGTTCGGATGAAATAAGAAAAGTTGAGGGCTCCTTTTTATTTTTTTTCTTTCCCTTTCTGGCTGAAAACATCTCACCGCTTTGAACGGGAGGCATGTGACTGACACTGTCAGTCTCGAACGGTGCCTCCTGGTCCCCCACCCTCCTCACTCCCACAGAGAGGGGAATTGTCAAAGTGTGATGAGAGAAGGTGCTTGGTGACACCTCTATTGAAAAGCGTTCCCCATTTTAGTTTCCGTCTTAGGGCTCAGTTCTGTGTTCACCTGACACAGTTCACAGTGGCATTCCCCTTGCCTACCTTGATTTTCATTAGACTCCAGAGCACTGATCACTTTCTATGGACCAGGGATGGCATTCATTCATTAGCTTATAAATCTTTTTAAACTGTATGACTAGAACAGCATTAAACAGCAACTTGAATAATCTACATACACAGTCCATTCTTGCCACCATGGACATACTCAGTTACATGTTTAAGACAGACAGAATTCCACCATAACAGGCTCACATTCCAGGATGCAGGTATTAACGACTGCCTTGCCTCTCAGTTTTTATCATTCATCTAGTGGGTCTTTTTTTCCAGTGCTGTATTTTCAGGCTTTAACATTGCTTTGTCGTTACATCTTACACATAACATGCAAATTTTTGTCCAACCAAGCTCAGTGACAGTTTAATCGAGTGGTTAAGAGCAAGGGCTGGAGCTCTGAAAAGCCTGGTTTGAGCCTGACTTCTGCACATTGAGCACACGGTTCAATCCCTCCCAGCCTTCAGTTTCATGTCTTTCTTATGAAACTGAAAAGAGGAGCATTCAGAGTTAATTTTTCGCCTGGGAGGCAGAGGCAGGTGGATCTCTGTGAGTCCGAGGCCAGCCTGGTCTACAGTGTGAGTTCCAGGACAAGCTCCAAAGCTACACAGAGAAACCCTGTCTTGAAAAACAAACAAACAAAAAAAAACAAAAACAAAAACAAAAGAGTTTATTGTTGGCTCTGAATGAATTTATCCATTGAAAGTGGCTAGTACAGCATTTATATCATGACTAATACTCAGTAAATTGTGGCTACATTGTCCACATTTTTAAGCAAGAGTTTCACTCATATTTACTCTAAATACTAATATTTCATTTAATTTGCCACCATGATTCATATTTGCTATCATTATGCTTTCTTGACCTTTTATATTCTTTTTCTAATTTCTGTGGGATTGATGGTATTTTCTTTTCATATTAAGTTGTTCTTTGATAATTTCATATACTTATAATACATTCTGATCATCCCTCTCATCCCCTCCTCCCCACAGGTCTTTTGCCATATTCACGTCTTTTTGTTGGTTTTGTGACCTGCTGAGTTTAACCAGGGCCGTCTGTGTGACCATGGGTTTGCCTCTGTCCATTGAAGATTGGTGAGCTCAATAACAGGCACATAGGTGACCCCTGACCCCCAACTTCCAGACTATCAGTCCCTTGAATACCTCCCCTTTGATGATATTTTCTTTGCTAACTTTTCCTAGTTGTTCTGGGGACGGACGGACGGACGGGGACACACACACACACACACACACACACACACACACACACACACACACACACACACACTTCTTCTAGTGTTATCCTTAAGTTGACCCCAAATTATATATTCTTCTCTCCTCAGCAGTAGTTAATCAACATCTAGACCTTAGTAAGACCAGGCGTATTTCCTCTTGCCTCACAGTGTAAACTCATAATTCCTTACTGGAAACAGCTGGGCTTTCATTCCAAATTGTTCCCAGATGTGTTGGACTTACTGGTTTGTAGAGCCCAACACTGGGTTTTGTTTTTGTTTGTAGGATCTCAGATTTTTTTTCTTTCATTTATTTCCAGTTTGTGGGAATACATCCTTAATTAATGCTTGTAGAGAAGAACCCTGAGCAATAAAATTCTTAAACACTTGTGTATATGAAAACTTCTTTACATTCTCCACATGTGATTAATGGTTTAACTGACAGAGAATTTCAGGTATAAAATAATTTTTTTCTTAGAATTCTGAATGCTATTTTCTCCTCATTCTCATTATTGCTGCTGAGAACTCTGGTGCCAATTCAGTTCTCTTTATAGTCACAAAACCCTGTTTCTTCCTCCTGAAAAATTCAGGATGCTTTCTTTATTCTTAGGGTTTAACCTAACCTATCAGCGTGGGATTTGTGGGCACCTCCCTGCATTCTGGGCGTCTGTCTCAAGCTCTGGAAGCCTCCCATCATTTCTATCATTGTTCCCTCTGGTCTCTTCTCAACTCCTTCTCAACTGTCATTAGACTGATTTTGTAACATAACGAAAAGTCCATCCTCCCACATTCTAGCCCATGACTTATATTTGACGTTTCTCTATCTTTTCATTCTGCACTCTGGAAGAGCTCTTTGTGCCAAGGTTTCTAACATGGTTCTCAGTGGCTCTTACTGGTGACTCATGTCCTGTGATGATACCTCAACATCCTAGGCCTCCAGTTCTATTTTGCTTAGCAGGTTTTTAGAGTTCTGATGGCATCTTTGATCTCTAAATACCACTGAGTACTGATAATTTCTTCCTTCCCTCTTGAACTCAGTTTTCAGCTGGTAATTTTTGCATTTTGTGACTTGGGCATTTCTCTTCTGATTTGGGGTTTTTTGCAAGAGTTTGGTGTGATGGTTAATTGTGGTTGTCGATTTAATTTACCTGGAGAGGAGGAACTTCTGTAGAGAATTTACCTCCATCAGATTGGTCTAAAGGCATGTCTGTGGGGGTATTTTATTAATTGTAAATAGAGGAGGGCCCAGCCTACTGTGATCCCTGGGTAGGTGGGCTTGGGATGTATAAGAAAAGTAGCTGAGCAAGACAGGGGGAGCAAACCAGTAACCAGCATTCTTCCATGGTCTCTGCTTGAGTTAACTGCATCCAGGTTCCTGCTCTGGCTTCCCTTGATGACTGTACTGTAACTTACAAGAGAAAATAAACCCTTTCTTCTCTAAGTCGGCTTTGATCAGAGTTTTATCACAGCAAGAGAAAGCAAACTAGAACATTTGGGGGGAGGTTTCTTGTATTTTATAAAAATAACAAGTTTGTGGGCAAATATTTGGTGGTAGACTGGATTTCTATTTGCCTGGAAGAGTGAGAAATCCTGTCCTAAGGGAATAAGGTAGAGATCAATAAAACAAGACACTCTATGTCCTCCTCTGGCCAGCATCTGCACATGCATGTACACACACACACACACACACACACACACACACACACACACACACACACACGCGCGCGCGCGCCAAATCCTTGTAAACATCTCTACTGCAGCTTTGTGAGACTCTAAACAAAAGACATGCCTAAGCTATGGCAAGGCTTGTAACCACAGAAACTGGGAGAATAAATATGCATTGTCTTAAACTGCTGATTTTTTTTTTTTATCACTAATGCCCCATGTGCCTCCTGAGCATAGATTCCCTGCTTCTTGACTGTAATCCATTTCTCTATACCCACTGGCTACTTGGAGTGCTTCCTCACAGTTCATACAAATGGACTCCCCCCATGCATACATTCTCATACATATGATCATATGCACAAGTGCTCACTTAGATGTATACGCCCATGCACATACCTTAGAGAAGTGTCCTTCAGCTTTATCCAGAGATCTCAAATCTTTTGTGCTATGCAAAGCCCTAAGACTGAAACAAAATCAAGTAAAACCAATGGCCATTTTCATGGTTTAAAATAGATGCAAAATTCCTGAATAAAATATTAGTAAGTCAAGTTCAATGAAACATAAAAGAATAAGTCAAGAGTAGATTTTTTTAGAAATGCAAAAATAATGAATTATTTATTAAATTCATGAGGGGATTCACTTAGTGTGTGAGAAGGTAGCATCCCAGAGTCCAGTTATGCCCCAGTAGATGCAAACTCCAGGCCAGCTCCCACAGACCCAGAACCTGAGACCAACCTCTGTAGGTCCAGGTTCCACCCGAGTGTCTGCTAAGATCCAAGCAGCAAGTCTGCCCCAGTGGACCTGGGGTTCGTGCCCATCTCTGCACACACAGGTACCAAGCAAACCTACCTGCAGACTTCACTGGCCATTCTGCCCAGAATATCTAGGTGAGATGACTGGTCAAAGCTGCTGAAGGAGATGCCAACTACACACAACCCCAAGGTGACCTCTGCATACCAGTTAAAACCCAGAAAAAGTCAAGCAATAACAAATGTCGGTGGGGATGTGAAGACAAACTGTTGCTCACTTCTGTTGGGAACATAGATTTATAAAGTCTCTATGCAACATGGGAGAGGGGCTCCTCAAAAGTGTAGAGAGAATTACCATGTAAACCAGAACACTGTTTCTGAGTCCATGTCCAAAGGATTTGAAATTATCATCTCAGAGAGAGCTACACTATAGAGTTCACTGCAGCATTTTTCAGAATTGCCAAGATGAGAAATCATCTAATGGTCCAGGAATAGATGGATGGATGGATGGATGGATGGATGGATGGATGGATGGATGGATGGATGGATGGATGGATAGATGATGAAAATGTAATGGACAGATTGAGATATTCATATCTATCATAAATAGATAGATGATAGAGTATTTGTCTGCCTTTTAAAAGACAAGTTTTTTGTAATGTGCAGTACAAATACACCTGGAACATTATACTAAGCTAAATAAGCCAGAAACAGAAAGAAATGCTGTGTAACCTCACGTGTGACATCTAAGCAGGTTGAGTTCGTAGACATGAGCATAGTAACTGCTGACAAGGCCTGGGATGGTGGAATAGGGAGATCTTAATGAAGAAGTTTTAGTTATGCATTCTTATGATCTAATGTACAGTTAGTACACATGCATCTAGACTACAGATTTACTAAGTGAGTCTTGAATATTTACCCCCCCAATAGAAGGTCCCTATGCAAACTGATGAACAAATTTTAGGCCATAATCCATAACCCATAATCATCTCATAATATACACATATTAAGACATCACACTATATACCTCAAGTGTGTGTGTGTGTGTGTGTGTTGTCAATTATATTCCAAAAAACTCTGGGAAAGAGGAAAACAAAAAATACAATTTAAATGTTACATAAATGGAATCATACCATTCAGGATTTCTTTGTGTTATCTTTTTTCATTGAGTATAATAACTCTCTAGACACATCCAAGTTGTACGTGTATGGATTTCCATTGCCAAGGTGTATTCTGTGGTTTGGAGTTCAAATCAAACCATAATCTGCTTAACTGTTCACCTGTTGAAGGACAACTAAGCTCTTTCTAATCTAACAGTTCAATATCCAGAAATGAACCTTTGAACACAGTGACATGGGCAAAGAAGTTTTGCATGCAGCCAAGAAATAGACAAAACCCAAGGTTCACCATGGGAGACCTGATTAAAACCAGCTACTGGACTCGCATACCACGTGTAGCTATGGGAAGTGACTTCGTGTTTATGACTGAGTTACAAAAGAGGAACTAGAGTGGGCTCCTTCTGTGCTTAAAAGAAGTGTGAAGACATCAAAGAAGACACAGAGAACATTGTTCCTGCTTATACTATTTGGAAGGTCTATACTCCTGCCCAGTGTTTTTCCTTATATTTCATGGCATTGACTAGGCAGCCACTGGAATTGCAAACACGGGTAATCAAAGCAGGTGACTAAATAACTTGAGACAATGTTCCTAATATGCTTCATGTATTGTGCAACCTTGGTTGTATATTTTTAGGGTGGATACTTTTTTACTTTTTCTCTTCTGAGTCCTGTAGCATCACAGGCAGGGTTTGCCTCCCTTCAGTCTGTAAATCAGGTGATGTTCACAGGTAGTTCATACTGATTCCCAAGCTTGAGTTACTCACATAAATCCTACTTGATCGAGATGCATTATGATTTTAATGTGCCACTAGATTCAATTACTCAGTATCTTATCAAATTGTTTCCTCCTGTATTAGCCTGTAATTTTATTTTCTTGTCTTTGTATCAGGAATAAACTGGCCTTATAAAATAAGAGAGGTAGTCTCTACATTTTTCTCTGCTTTAAAATGTAAGGTGAATCAGGCTCTTTCCTGGGATCGGAGAGAACCTGCCTATAACTACTAAGGGCTTGTGCTCTGGACAACAGAAAGAAAGGGCAGATTGGTAGATGGTCCTTTAACTGCCATCTCTATTTTTTATGAGTGTTTTCTATTGGTTTTTCTTGGGCCAATTTTGGAAATTTATATTTTCCTTGACATTTTTGTCCATTTCATCTGAGGTTTTCAAATGAATTGGTATAAAGTTATATAGTTGAATCACATCATCCATACATTTATTATATGTGGATTTTCAACTATACATGCTCCATTAAATGTTTTATATATATATATATATTTTAAGGGAGAGAGGGAGACTAGCGTTTTAAAGCATGTGGGCCATCTCTCCTGATATTCCAATTAGAGGAACAGTGACTCAACAGAGCAACGTGAACAGGCTGATCACAGCCTCGGCTGAGGCTCTCACCACCTCAAGGGTGAATGTGTAGTTTAAAGGCATTTCTCACATAAGCTAGTCTAATTTAGAAAGTGGTGATGAGAGTCAAAGATGACCAGAAGCCAGGGTTTCTAGAGCATCTCCTCCACCCTCAGCACACACATGCCTCCAAAGACGTCCCCATGGACATTCCCATCACAGGCGGCGTTTGTCTTACCTTCTGACTTCAGCTGATTTGTTGTGCGAAGCATTCCCCAGTTCTCTGAAAATGCCTCTGTACCCCAGACCAGTCTGCCCTTGCCATGACCATCCTAACAAACAACTTGTGTGTTTTGACATTCTATCAAAAATCCAACTCTGGCTTTTATTGATCTCAAGCTTCCTATATTTTGTTTATTTCTGCTTCTATTTTTATTAACTTTCTATCTATTTTATTCGGGTTTGATTTTTATTTCTTTCCTTATCCATTGAAGCTGTGGTGTGGTTTAGAATTTCAGAGGGACATTTAGAAGCATTTTGTAAGTATATACTTCCTGAACAAACCCATTCTTCAGAATCTACCCTAGAGAAGAATTCACACATTACCAAACATTTTCTTTTTAAAATTTTTATTATCATTGTATGTGTATGGATATTTTACCTGTGTGTACGTCTGTGCACCATATGTACAGTGGCCACAGAGGCTAGCAGAGGGTGACACATCCTCTGGAACTGAAGTTGCAAATGGCTGTGAGCCTCCATGTAGGTGCTGGGAATCAAACACAAGTCCTCTGGAAGAGCTGATCGTAACCACTGAGCCATCTCTTCAGCACCTAAACATCTTCTAAAACTATTGTTTGTTAACAAAAACAGAAAACCCTAAAAATACATCAATGTGAATCTAAAATTTAAAAATCTGTTTATTTGTATGTATATGTATGTGCATGTGAACATGTGCACAAGCATGTTTATAGAGGCCATAATAGAATTTACAGGAGTCAGTTCTTTTTCTGTCAATCGAGTTCTAGGAATCGAATTCAGGTCATCAGTCCTGGCAGCAAGCACCTTTATTCACTGAGCCAACTTACTGACCCATTAATATGAATATAACTTATTGACCTAATCTAGAATGAAACTACAGAGCAGTATACAGCTGACATAAAGGGAGAGGCAACACCCCACAGATGATGTACCACTGTTCCTCCAAATGGTCCTTAAACCACTTACTGAATAATCTGCTTCTTCTCCCACATCCCTGCACTCTCTCTGTAATGTACTAAATCCTCATCCATCCTTGGGTGGACTTCTTCATGCTGTTCCATGCCATTGATCTATCAGTCTATCCCTCCAGCTGCGGCTACTATAAATTTCATTGTTTTATAACACATCGTAATATATGATGCAGGTTAGTTCTCATTATTCTTATTCCAGAGAACATTCCTGGTAATTGCTCCAAGTCTTAAGGACAAAACAGTATTGAGGTTTGATTTGAAACTGCATTGAATGTATAGATTTATTTAGTGAGAGCTGACATCTTTACAGCCTAGAGTCTTCTTACCCAAGTGCAAAGTTTGACACCCCATTGATTCAAATCTCCTTTTATGGCCCCCAATAGAGGTTTATAGTTTCATTCATATAGACCCCGCATGTTGCCTGTTAGGCTTATCTGGAGATATTTTATGAGTATTGTGTCATACACATGTGGAGTTCAGAATGCCAAAACCAAACTTTTAATCCACTTCTTCAAATAGGTCCCTTTGCCAGATCACAATTCACCTGCCACAGATGTCAGGGGTCCAAAGTCATCCTCAAGCCTCCTCAACTTCATTTCAACTCCTGAACAAACAAAACCATACAGAGAACACACCTTGGACCAGTGGGCGTCTCTTCTGTTCTGCTCTGTCCAAACCACTGTCACTTATCAGACCATTTAACTGCTCTGAGTCTTTGTATCTCTTCCACCCATCTATCCTTTACATGACAGCATCGTCTTTAAGTAAACTGATACTTGAACGTCCATGTTTAAATGCTTCCAACTGCTTTGCATGACACTTAGGACCCAACACCTTTAGCTAGACCAAGAAGGCTCTACGGACTGATACAGCCCTTCTCTTTCTCTTCAGCCTTCTACCCCACCACTTTCCTTCTCATTCATGACATCTAAGCCCACTGGGCTCAATTCAGATGACCAGCTGTGGTTGATAAGATCATTGATTAACCTCCACTTTCTCCATGTAAAAGAATTAT